TAATAATCTTGGCTTCATTTATCATCCAGGTGCCTCCACAGGAGAGTGGGGCCACAAAAGCCTTTTTTGTTTGCTTGTTTTGTTTTTGGAATTTGCAATTGTCTATTTTCTTAAGTCTTCCCCACTAGGCTAGAATCATGCGCTCCTGGAGGGTCAGGCCTGGGTCTTGCCCCTGAAATCCCCAGCAAGCCTCGTACAGGGGCTCAATGTTTGCTGAATAAACTCTCCTTTCCACGGGTAGGACTTTTCAGCTTGTCAAGACTTTGCTGAACCACGAAATATATCTAGAAACCCAGAAAAGAAGAATTCAGAGGTAAAAGCACAAAAGGATCAGGCAGAAAATACTCAGCAGATATAATCAATACAAGTTCAGTTCTTTGAAAATACCTCTAAAATGGATAACTCTTTGGCAAGTTTTGGTCAAAGAAAGAGAAAGCATGGACAAGCAACAATGCTAGGAATGAGAAAAGGGACAAACTGACAATGGGGAGATTTAAAAGGGGCAGGAGAAAATAACACAAAACTTTGCAGCAGTAAGTTAAAAATCTAGATAAGACATGTGACCTTCTATGAAATCACCAAAGCCCTTCTGCAACTGTTATGTCCAGAAACCCTTATAACAGCACTGTGCTTTGGACAGCAGTGTTCCAGTTAGGTTTTCTGGAAGGAAAAGAGAGTGAGAGGTGGACACCCAGCCCAGGTCCCTGACAAGCTACCTGCTTTGTCTCAAAGGTCACAGCCACAGGAGCACGTGCCCGTCAATGACAGGGACCCGCCACACTCTCGCACTTCCAGCCATCACCTTAAGCCCCCTGGTTGGAGGCCAGTCTTATTTATTTTTCCACTTGAAATGCCATAAGGGGTTTCACTTTATTTTTACTTCAAAAGCAGCACCATAAAAATCCTTGATGATTAGAGCTCCAGCTGTCCTAAGTTGTTTGTCAAGGGATCGGTTACTCAACTCTCCTATGGAGGGAAACAGTTTCAGGCGAGAGGCCATGGGAGCTGAGAAACACAAATGTCTCATCTCTAAAAACTTTCAGACTCCCTCCTGTTCACCGCCTGGCCTGCCCCCTCCTCCCCTCCCCCAACCCCACCATCTGCTCTCCAGAGAGCAGATCAAATTTTCAGGCTAAGGTACTCTGGCGCCAAGGACTCAGCCCCTCCATGCTACCCCCTGCCCCCCACCAACTCAGAAATCCAACACCACAACCCAAATGGACTGCAGCCACATAAAACCACAAAGTAAAGTTTATAAAGCTTTATTAAACATTTCAAACAGCTGTGCAACGAACACACCGAAAATAAAAGCTCCAGAATAGCAGTCCAAATGTTCCACAAGTGTGGCCTCACGGTCCCATTCCCTAGATGGACTGCCTCCAGTTCTGTCCTCTGCCTGGCCCACCGCCCTTCCCACTCAGGCAAGAGAAAGATGGATGACTGAGACTGGACGGACAACCATGCTGGTCCCCAGTGGGCAGGGGCCAGGAGAAAGTCTCATTTGCCAACACTTGTTACTGAAGCGCAGAAAAAGCAAAAAGCAAGTGACAGTCACAAAGTCTTCCTGTGTATTCTTCATAATGTACAGTCTATATGCGCAGGACTGAAGGAACTCCTGGCACAAGGACGATGGCCACCGCTCCCCTCTGTCTTGTCTGAACCACCACGGAGTCCAGTGTGCTGGTCACCCTGCAATCCCCATGCTAAATAAAAACTGTAGCAGCACCTACTATAGCTAGCTATTGCTAAACCTCAAAATCAGAACATGTTCGATAAAGCTTCTTTAAAAGGAATATACACATATATTTGTATACACATATATTTGTATACACACACACACACACACACACACACACTCACGGCACACCAAAAATATCCAAACACCTATCAAGGGGATCATGGCTGTTATGAAACACACGAGTACTCTTCCATTCACTCTGGGGACTGCTACATCTACATGAACACACCACACCTCAATCCTGCAGAGCATGCACGGGAGACACAGTGAGGCCCCCCTCCTGGGGACAATTGAGAAAGGCAGGAGGAAGGGCAAAGAAAGTGAGGCTGGGCTGGTAAGCATGAGCCCAGACACTCAGGTGAAAGAGCAACAGATATCTGTTACTTCTTTCTTAAAAATGAAGTGGAAAAAATACTGCAGATTTGTGGACAACAAACAGTCAAGACACGTTTCTGTCTGGGCTGCTGACCAGGGAAAGAAGGATGAAAAAGCGAGGCTCTCGGGCGTCAGCAATCTCTTTAAATTCGAGATAAGTGCAAAAATGAGCCCTGTCTTGGACAGGTGCTCCCCCAAAAAGGAAAGGGGTAGGAGAGAACTAAAGGGAAACCAGGACAGGGACGGAGGGGATGGTAACATTCTGGGATGGGAAGAGACCCTGACAAGGAGGGGTCACAGAGGTGACAAGACTGGCATTTTATCTGCCCAGGTCATGCTGGGACGGTGGGCTAGGATGGGCGCAGACTCCTCGCAGGAATGAGGCGAGGGGAGTGACCATCCTGCCAGCCTGTGGGAGGGGCGGGGGGACCGAGATGGGGACAGAACACACACAATCACAAGACCACCCACAACTACAGGACTCTACAATAAAAGCACCGGTCAGTGCCATTATTCACATTATAAGGATAAAACATCACAGGCCAAGAAAGGCGCCGTCAGGAATGTGGCACCCGCGGGGCTGCGGGATTTGAAACTCCAATGCTTTATGACCTATGTCAATGCCTCCCCTCCCATCTTCTGCTTCCTTGGAAAGCTAACTGGGCAGGCCGTTAGGTGCCCACAACGCCGGGGTCGTGCGCCGATTCCGGAAGCGGGGAATCAGAGCAGTGGTACAGGAAACAGTTTCCCCAGCAGCTATAGCAGATGAGGAACAGGGCTGCCAGGAAAACCAAGGCACAGATTGTGCAAGGCTTCCGCTCCAGGAGGAAGCTGAGCAGGTAGAAGCCCATGAACATGGAGTGGCTGAACCACAGGGCGGGGTTGAGGGGCTTGGGGATGAGGAGGACGGGCAGCAGCCACTGGAGGCAATACATGATCTCTGCTGGGCAGGGCCTTCACCAAGGCCACCGGGCACCGCTGCAGGAACCGACCTAATGGGAGCCAGGGGGCGCAGGCAGCTGCCCTCCGCTTTCTTCAACCCTCACTCTCCAGGAGCTGAGCCGCTGTGCTCTCTGGCTGTCAGCCCGGGATCACCAAGGCAGCACGGATCCTGAAGAGAAAAGTCAACACAACAGACAAACAGACAAAAAACAGACAGACAGACAAAAAAAAAAAAAAAAAAAAAAACAGGAACAGAATGTATACTTATTTGGGAAAATGGATCATGGTTAACAATAGCAAATGTGAATGCCCTTTCCTCCCTGCCCACCCATGGAAGTCTACTCCTTTCCACATCACCATTTCAGGAAGCTCTTGGGGTATCTCCCCGGGGCTTATGAGGGAATTGAGCCAGAGGGCTCTTCGGGCAGGTCTGGCACAGTGGACTGGCTTTGCCTGGGCCCTGCCCAGCAGAGATCATGTATCGCCTCCTGGGGCTGCAGCCCGTCCTCAAGGGGCCCAGACCTCACAATACCGCCCTGTGGTTGCTCCCGGATGGCCACAGGCTCCGTGCTGTGCCCCCACAAAATAAGAACAGGGTTTGGTTCTGTATCTAGTATCTGTCACAGCAGGTGCTCAGGGGAGAGTTAACGCACCTCACTGCCAACTGGAGCTCGCAGGCAGTGGGTCCTTGCACGCTCTGCGGGGCGGCGGTGGCAGCACTCCCAAGTATTGTCTTTTAAGATGGCAGCCCAGCATCATTTTGCCAAAACCAGCCAACTTCTTCAAAGTCAATGTAGGAAAAAAAATCACCATGCCACTTCATCCAAACTGGCCTCACTTGGATCACTTACACTTTCCATCTGCTGCTGGCACTGTATAGAACCTGACCTCTGTGAGCTTTTAATCAAAATTCATTTCTATCCACATAGGGGCAAATGCCATTTGGCCCCCGTGCTAGGAAGCTTGCTGGAGAGGTGCTCTCCAGTGGCGGGCCACCAGTGCGCTGGGGCTGAGCTCGCAGACCGCGCTCCGGTCTTCCCCGCTGTGCCTGGAAATGGACCTGCGGCAGCCACAACCCTCTGGTGGCGGTAGCAAAACCCCATTCCAAGCTCCAGCTGCCCAGTGCAACGGGTACAAAGAACCTCGCTGGCTGCATTAAGACCTACCAGGGCCTGAGGGGAGGGGAGCAGGAGAGAGAGGTTGAAAAGACCTGTCCAGCAGAAATGATCCTGGAGCATTTTTCGACCACTTCTCGGAAAGCTCATCCCATCCTTTCCGCGCACACAAAGGCGCCAATCCCTCCCGCATTCCTCCCACAGGGTAGATACCCGGTGACTACCGCTTTTGCGCCTAGAGCTCAGTGCCCTGGCTCTGTTCCTTTCAATCGTCACCGTGGTAGTAACCGTAAGAAGCGGGATGCAAAGAATCAGAGAAAAGTTCCGTGCTCAGGGACTCTCGGGAAGCAGAGGACACGGGCTTACAGCACATCAAATACCAGAATAAGAGTACTGACCAGGGGCCTATGAAGCCAAGGCTCCGGGAAGGGACACTTTTTTTTTTTTTTTTTTTTCTGCGGGGCGGCAGATGATCCCTAAGTTGGGTTTTCCTGGTTTTCCACCCGTGCCCAAGGTGGGGGCCTGGTGTGCCACTGGACACTGGGCTTGAATTTGCAGGCCACAGCTCCGAGGAGTTCCGTGCCAAAAGGCGTGTACCCCCTACTCCAGCCCTTTGCTCTACTCAAGAGTTGCAGTTCCCCTCCATTTTACACTAAAATTCAAAAGCGGGCACAGCGGAATCTTCTGGAAAGGGGCTAAGATGGAACTCAGGAGGCGGGGGTCGGTGTGGAAAGAGCAGATTGATTATTTTTTCCTCTGCTGGCGAATAAGGAGCGCCCCCGGCCACCCCTCCTCAATGGACACCCCCAAACGCGCATGCGCACTTGGGTGGCGGGCGGATACTTAAGGCGCGGCCACCGCGGCTGCGGCAGTGCGCCCAACAGCGGACTCCGAGAGATCGGCGGACTTTGCCGAACCACGCTCGCTCTCAACCACTCAACCACCGCTCTTGGAACCATGGCGGCAGTGGCGGCAGCCTCAGCTGAGCTGCTCATCATCGGCTGGTACATTTTCCGCGTGCTGCTGCAGGTAAGTGTGCCCAGGGTCCGGGTGGGCGAGGGGTCCCAATGCGCGCCCCCTTAACCGGCAGGCCCACGTCGCAATTGCCGCCTCCCGGACCCTTCCTATCCTATTGCCGCGATCCCTGCTTGCCTGAGTGCCGCGGTCGGCACCGCGTGCCCCCGCGCGTTCCCTGCGCCCTCCTCCTCGCGCAGACCCTTCCCAGTGCGCCCGCGCCCGGCCGGGAACAAAGAGTTGGGGCGCGGCGGGCGCCAGCCGCTGACGATCGCCGAGGCTCTTAGCGACCAACGCGGTAAGAAAAACCCGCTACACCCCAGACTCTACCCCAGGAGGGAGGCGGGGCACTTCTGTTTTGCGAAGAGACTTCACGCTCGCATAGCAAAATTTTCTGCCTTAAAAAATTGCGCATTGCGGGGAAATTTCTTTAAAACAATATATATATAGCGCTTGCGAAGGTGGAACCAAAAATAAGTTAGAAAAAGACACTTCTCAGGAAAAAAAAAAAGCACTTCATAAAAACCCACAACGAATTAGAGAAAAGTAATTTGCGGGGAAAAAATGAATTAGAGAAAATGCGCATTGCAGGAAAAATAAATCAGGCAAAAGCACTTGGCAGAAAAAAATGCATTAGATAAAAGGCGCATTGCAGAAAAAATTAGACAAAGGAGCTAACAGAAAAAAAATGAATCGGATAAAAAGCGCTTTGAAGCAAACAATTAGAAAAGGTTCTTTGCAGGAAAAATGGGAGAAAAAAAGCGCTTCCAATTTTGACAATTCGCTTTGTTAAAAAAAAAAAAATCAAATAGAGGCAGAGTGCTTTGTAAAAATAAATCAGAAGAAAGCACTTTGCCCATGAGATCATTTACCCTAAAAGCACCCCTTGCAGGAAGAATTCCCTGCTAAAGGAATCCTTTGCCAAAGGAATCGCATATTTCCTTCAAGGTGTTCCTGGAATGCTGCATTTACTGGGTAGGATTCGCTTTTCGAAATCCTCCAGGGACACAGCCCATTGCGAGAAGTGAGGTATACCTAAGTTGTGGGTCCAATCAGCTTGCTGCCATGCAGCCTTCAGCACAGTTGGAAAAGCTCCAGCTGCCCTGACTCGTGGACAAGCTGCGCCCGCGCCTGCCTCTCTTAAGTCCGACCGGCAGGCGGGGCAGGGGGTGGGGTGGGGGCGGGCACGGCAGCGCTGCAGACTGGCTGCGGGTGCCTGCCTCTAAGGGCAGGTCCCGGGTCTCTCGCTGCAGGTGTTCAGGTACTCCCTGCAGAAGCTGGCGTACACGGTGTCGAGGACCGGGCGGCAGGTGCTGGGAGAGCGCCGGCAGCGAGCCCCCAACTGAGGCCCCAGCCCCCAGCCCTGGGCGGCCTTGTCACCAGGTGCTCCTGTGCTTCTCGGCCAGCATGGGAGCCAGTGCCGCGCAGGAATGGGGGGTCCCCTGTGCTCTCTCGCCAGAGGAGCATTTGCCAAGGTCAGTGAGGGGCCGGCAGGCCCCCGGAGAAGCAGCACCGACAATGACGACAATACCAGATCCCTTCCAAACCCCTTTGCACCCCTCCGACTGTTGGGCGGGGTAGAGGGAGGAGGGGGGGTGGGGGGAGCATACCCCCGAGATCTGGGCACAGGCAATGCATTCTGATCTGGAACAAGTCGGGACAGTGCCATCCCAGCCCCGCAGCCACGGCCATGCCAACAGGCCCCACCACAGAGATCCAGACAACCGCACCAGCCAGCAGAATGGACATTCCAGCATCACCAGCCGAAGCCCTGAACCCCGATGCAGCAGATAAGGCGCCAGCTGCGTGCCTCTGTGGCGGGACTTGAGGGCGAGAGTGAGGGAGGAGGGGTAAGAAACAGAGTGGGGCCCGCTCACTGTCCCTCGCCAACACGTGCATTCCAGCCTTGCTGCCTTTGCTCCCTCAATTCCCTTCCCCCCACCACTGCCTCCTGAGTCCACCCAAAGAAATGTGTCACTCAATTTGGACCTATTCAACCAGTAAATGATCCCATCTTCACTAAAACACCTTCTCCAAGCCCCCAGCCCCTCACTGATCTTGCTTTCCCTGGTCTCACGCAGTTGTGGTCAATATTGTGGTAATCGCTAATTGTACTGATTGTATAAGTGTGCATTAGTTGTGTCTCCCCAGCTAGATTGTAAGCTCCTGGAGGACAGGGACCACCTCTACAAAAAAATAAAAAACCAGTACCTCCCCCATCTCGCACCGTGTCCCAGGACCCTGCGGGGTGGTGGAGGTGCACCAAAAAGCTGTCTCTTGTGACTTCTTTTGCGGCTTCAACACATACTCCTTAAGACTGGGCTGGTGCACCATTGTTGGGGTGGGGGAACAAAGGGGAAATAAACTGGGACGCTCACACACCCAGTTCCATCTTCACTTAGCACTATTCTGAGAGATAAAGGAACACTTCCCCACCCCAAAAAGAAACGTCTACATCTTTTGTGGTCTCAGAATAAAGGACCACTTACCCTCCCCAGAGGGGTGGATGCCTTCACTTGTCCTGGAATAAGGGACCTTGGCAGGAAAGATGAGAGGAGGCAAGAAAGGTGGGAATAACCCTCAAGACGGGGTACTAGAGACCAAGGAAATGATTCAGGACTTCAGAACACAAAGCTTTAGCTCCATCTAGGAACCCCAAGGAAATGAGCACTGGGCAGGGTGGGCACTGGCTGATAATGAGTATCGGATAAGAGGTGTGGTGTGGTGCCTCCTCTGCCCAGCTTATCCCTCCAGGCCCTATAACCCCTACCAGGACCACTACAAGGGCATTTTGCCCTGCCTTACTACTCTCCAGGTCTCCTCCCCGACACCTGGGAACCTCTCTCTAGCTCTCCCCATTAGTGGGTTCTCCACTTCTGGCATTAGCCTCAATATTCTTAGGGGTGCTTACCAGTCCCTCGCCCTGGGCTCTCTCCTGCCATGTCAGGGTAGGTGGGCGGGTGGGCTGGCTGTTCAGCTCCTGACTTCTTTCTCCCCTCTTTCACTCTTGAGTCAGGACTCCTTTCACATGGTTAGCTGACTGCCTCACCAAATGGCCCTGCCGCCTGTTCAGCCTCGTCTCTGGTGTAATGTGTCCCTGTCACTACACACCTGTTCCTAGGTCAACACCAAGGGAGGATTTGGAGGGCCATAAATCTCTCTGCCACTTCCTCAAATCCCTTAGTCACAGTTGCTGCAAACACTTCTGGAGCACAAAGCACCTTGCCCCCTGAGCCTGATATTTCCCCTCCTCTAAGCAACCCCTGAAGTTTCTAAACCCCACTGCCGGCACCTCCAGAGGTACCTATATCTTTAGCACGGCATCAGAGAATTATGGGGGGAGAGGGTACAGACCTCAGTTCTGGTACTGGGCTTTGTCATCAATCAGCCCAGGGAAACTGGCTAGGTCATCTCCTACCCCCCACCTTCAGTTTCCCTCTATACAGCGCTGCTAAGATCCCAGTGAACTCCAGGATACTAGAAACATTCTGCCATCAAAGTGGCCATCAGGACCCATGGGAACTGGGGTGAGGATGTGTAATCAGAGACTCCCATCTTCCTTAGGCTGGGTGGCTCCAGCTTCTACTTTAGCCTGAAGGTGAGGTGGGTCTCCTCTTGCCCCAGGGTGACTCATCAGCAGGCAATGCCCACACCTCCCTTCTGAAGCCATTTCTTGGCAGGCCTCAAGACTGGGAGTTGCTGTGGTTTTCCACACTAAGCCCACAGAACCGTGAACGTTTCAACATGTGTTCTCAATGAAGACTGCCTCACCTCAGAGCCTTCAAGGGGTATGCCCACAGCCCCACTGTCCCACATGCTCTAACCTCAGCCCAGTTATAAGGTAGCTGAGTTCAGATAGACAGGTATGGAAGGGTCTGGCTGTTCTGGACAGAGCATGCTCCCCTTAGCCTCCTGTACCCCCTTTAAAAGGCAGGAGGCTGCTGGCAGCCCCAGGGCTTTCCAGATAATCTTGGCAAAGCCCATCTGCGGGGCTTCTCCATCCATCCATCAAAGTGGCATGGTGAGATGACAGACTTCCAGGCAAGGGCTGTCGTGGTGGCCTGCATCCACATGGGTGGGTTTGAGTGTGCAGTGTCCACTCCCCCACTTTCATCCCTCATCCCCAAACCCTCATGTTCTGGCAGCAAACAACCCACTGGAGAAGGCAGAAGGAATGCGTCCACTTTCTATTCCTGTGTGGTGCCTAGAAGTCTGGTCCAAACACACCTTGTTTATAAAAATTTTTCCAGAAGCAATGCCATTAAAACATTTTATTCTGATAGAGAGCAATGGCAGAAGTTAAAAATGACTAGAATTTTATTGCAGGCCCTTAGTCCACAGGCCTCCCTTTTTCCTAAACTGTCTCTACCACCCCCAAAAGGCTTTGCCCCTGTAAAACCAAGGATATAGCAGATGAGTTGTGAGGGGATTGGAATGGCTTTGGAAAGGCAAGACTTTTGGCACTAATGCTCCAAGAAGGAGGTCAGTGTCTCAGCCTAACCAGTTAAGCTCCAAGGGGGGGTGGGGGGGGTAGGTACCATGACTTTCAGAGGTGTGGGGTGCCATGTGACACTGCTATCTCTATCTGTGGAGTATTTGGATTGTGACTGAAGGAAGAGGTGGGGGGACAAGCTTCTTAAGCTTCAGCTGCAGGACAGCAACAGCTTATTACACCTGCATTGGATGAGGGAGCAGGTTTGCTGTGAGCCATTTGCTACATATCTATTTTCAAACTTTATCTACTCAGGAGCCAGCACCCTAAAGTGAGATTCTGAATTTGCAGTTAGTTTTACCCCCGGAGATTTAAAAGTGCACAAACCGCACACAACACACAAAACATTAGTCTAACAACAGTCTCGTTTTCCCTGGTGATCTCTGACTTCCTCTATATGCCCCAGAGACATGTCACCATCTTCTCTGGGAATGATCCTGTTCACCCTCCCCTCCACCCCTTCTCCCTCCCAACAGGGCCCATACCCCAGCAGGATCCAGATTCCTGAGCATTCCCAGAACAGGAAGTCAAAAAGGCAGGCAACACATGGTCCTTGGTATAGCACACAGTGACAGGCTTGAAATGGAATGCATATGTTTCAAAGATAAGAGAACAACAAAAAAAGACAGCCAAACCCAGACTTCCAGATTCCTCTTTGAAACAACATATTACAGATAAAAGGTTAAACTGTTTTTGGCAGCAATTCTAACAAGACCAATTACAGATCCGGAATTGATCTGGTCACAGGAAACTGACCAGGGCTCTGAATCTTTTAACAGATTTGCTTGAGGTTAGTCTCTGATTTAAAACAAACAAATAAACAAGATCTAACACTTGGCATTAGCACTTAAGCTGGAACTTTTTTTTTTTGTCCTGGCTTTGGTGTTGCTGTCCAGAAGGCTGAGGGGATGGTTGGACCATGTCAGGCAGGGCAAAGAAGCTGTTCCCAACACACCAGCTCCCTGAAAGGGATAAAACACGATCCGAACCTATAAACAGAAAGATCATTTCCACCCTAGGACAGACCCCAGTCTGTCCCAACACTTAGCGTTGAAAAGGGACACGGAGGCCTGGAAGGAATATACAGAAGGTTTGGAAGGGGTAAGGATAAAGAACTGTTCCCCATCCCCCATTCTTCTTTCCTAGGCCATTGGTGTGCCAGGCATTCCGTTCCTTCAGCTGGCCTTGAAGGCCACTCCCCATATATACTGGAGGAAAGGAAACGGGTGTCCAGACTTGATGTAAAGTTATGAGAGAGTAAGAAACACTCGCGACTCAAAGCAGAGCGTCAACCTATTACCCCATCACCTTAGACACCAAAGCGGGTGCCTGGGGCGGGAGACCCCCTTTCGCCCCTCTCACCCACGCCCCTTCTGATTTTAAAAATGCGACTGAAGTAGCGGGGACAGAGTAATAGGACTCTCAGAAGCTGGGCCCCCTGCCATGGGCCCCTGGGCCGAAGAGGTGGTACTCGCGCCCCTCAGTCCCGCGCTCCCCGACTCAGCCTGTCCCGGCCCGGGAACAGACAGGCGAGCACTGACCTTGGAGGCCAGAACGAGACCCAGGGGTCCGGTGACTCGCCCTCGGGCCGCGGAAGGGCCCCCAAGGCCCAGGCTGGGGCCACACAGGGCAATCACGTGACACCGGACAGGGGTGGCCCCCTGGGTGCGCGGAAGGAAAACCCCAGAAAGGGACCGGGCGACGCCTTAAGGTGACCCCGAAGGGACAACATGGCGGCGCCGCCACACTGAGGGCCTCTCATCCCGTCCCCAGGGGGCCGACGCCACGGTACCTGCGAGCCCTGCCATGGCGCCGCCGCCACTGTCGCCTTCGCTGCCGCAGCCTGCCTCCACCTCAGCTCGCCACCGACGCCGCAGGAAGCCGGGGAGACGCCCCCTTCGTCTTCTAGGGGAGCAGACCGAGGACCCCTCCTGGCATTGGGCTGCCTCCAGAAGACGCCTGATCATAAGCCCCAAATTAGGGTCGTCTTTGCCAGATATCCCCTCAATGTTCGCCTCAGATGCGCCCTTGAAAATTTTCTATGTATCTGTGAGGAACTGAGGGGGCTCTCAAGTCTTCAAGCCCGAAGAATTTTTAGTCAGGCGCATATCGGGTAGTCCCGAATCACGGCCTCATGGTCCCCTCATGCATATGCAGCAGATTGTGATCCTTACTCATTGAGCGCCGAGGGGGCGTACCTTAGTCTTCGTAGGTGAGCTCTTGATTCCGGTTCCCTGCGTGGATCACCTGTGTCATCCGTGGCAAACCTCGTGGCTCAAAGTCCACCCTCTCCCTGGCCCTTTCACAAAGGGGCCAAAGTTCAGGAGCGGAAAAATCGGGTTCAGAATTTAGGACCTGACTCCTCCCCTTTCCCTGTACCTTGGGCAACTTGCCCACCCCGACTCTCAGCTTCCCTAGGTCTGATGAAATGCTTACTTCATAGAGTTGTTATGGGGATTGAATGAGTCAGGAATCGTTTATTAGCCCATTAAGCGCATTCTTTGAGCGCTTACTATCTGTAAGTGCAGCGCTAAAGGCGGGAGGGTGGAGTGGAGGGTGGCAAACCTCTGCCAGTCTAGTGGGGGGAAAGCGAAGGGGCGGAGGAACGAGAGTCAGCAAATAATGACTGTTAATATTAATCAAATCAATATATAATTATGCAGCATGGGAAGTGTAGTGGGAGAACATAAGGAGGGTTATGAAAAATGAATGGGGTCCTAACATGGGGTAAGGGGTGAGGGTGGATACTCCTTGAGAAGCTGACATTTAGATTGAGA